GACCGCCTCGTAGCACGATTACTCGTAGTACGGGGTCTCGCTGCTCTTGGTCTGGCTGTTTCCCTTTGGCCTTCCTGGCATGGTTGTACCTTGTGGAACGAAGTTCTAGCTAGTGTAGCCCGCGGGATCGCTGCAGCACTCAAGCCCGACCACCACATCAAGGTGGCAGCTTTAGGTCGGGAAACCAATCTGGTACATGGGAACGGACCCGAACACACAACAAGTCGCAGACTGAACAACGAGATCACGACAAAGTTGTTCCACAACCAGTCAATCCCTTCAAGAAATCGTAAATATTCTCTAAAAATTTTATCAACTTAAGTAGTTAGGAATGGAGTAACCGCCCAGAGGCGCACTGCGGTTGTTGTTAGTATTATTACCGGTGGCGAAGTTTTCAAGCTGATTGTCGAGCGCGACAAAACAGGTCAACACTCCCCTGGTCCTAAACGAATTAAAATAACTTTCCTCTCTGGAATTATGGCAAATCCTCGCCAGATTTGCTGAATAATCTATGTTCAGTCCTCACCCCCGAAACGATGACGTTGGTCCAGAGAACCTTCTCCATCCAGATCTTAATCGTCCTAAGGCGGTATACGAAGTCTTCATCAGCGAGTATCAGGCAGATTTCGACTAGATGAAAGCTCCATCCATATGGCTTAGAGGAACTTCTGCCTCCACGGCGAATTTCTTCGTATTAAGACCTGGAATAATGAGTTGTGTCATTGGGAAACATGGCGATTGATAGGTTGGCCATGGATTCGATCAGACATGTGTTGTGGTCCGGAGCTCTTTAGATACGTGTTCTTTACTTCGCATCCCAAGCCTCTTGCCTATTCTACCGATGTAAATATAATCGCAAATGATATACGCAACAATTTGTTGGAAAAAATGAAGCCGGTATGTTGACTGTCAGCAATGACATGACACATGCACTTCAGGTGCAATATAAACGCAAGGAAGGCAACTGCGCACCGACAATGCCTCTTCTTTTGATGACAAAGCGTTTGCTCATTAACTACCACGCTTGTTCAACAGATCAACAACAACAACTGATCAACAACCAACAAACTGACAACAGTGAAAATAAACCGAGTACTGGGGGCGAAAACTCTGAATTTTTTCGCCGGATCGCATAAACGCAAAATTCACTTTTCTGTTCATTTGATGGTCAGTCAGGAGGACGATCCATGAAATGACCAGTCAAGAACACTGGTTCAAGATAAATGGGATCGGTTTGGACGGTGATTAGTGCTCACAGTTCATGACCAAACATCAGCAAGGTATTTACAACCTCACATTACTCAGAAGTTCACGAAGCATGAAGGATAATATGACTACAAGGTTAACTAAGCCCGCAGCATAGAAATACCCTAACTTCTAGAGAGTCTTTACACCTTTGGGTTGAGGAAGATCCGTAAGTCTCATAGAAATTGTGCCGTTAATCCAGAAGGATTCGGAGAATTCTCCTAATCTTGAAAGTGTCTCGTGCTGAGAGATGCCACGATTTTGCCGTTATACTGAAGAACACCAACTGGATGTAATGACCGCCAAGGGTAACAGGTTCTCCCATTCACTATCTTTTGAAATAGCATCACATTAGAAGGTTGTTGACTGCGTAAGGAATTATATGTAGCTAGTTTAATCCTGTCTTTTTTAAGAAGATGAGCAAATTCAAACTGATGCGGGCTGCAGGCCTAATCACCTGGAATCAAATAAAACCCAGTTATTGGGGTATCAGTGAGGATAAAGGACCAAGAATTTTCCAGAAAAACGCGTCCATTCGCAAACAGATTCGGTACGCAAATGAGTACATTTCGAAAATTCGGTTCGAAAATTTGGTTTCAAGTAGAACATTAGGTTGATGAAAACTCGGGGGACTGCGATCATCTGATGAGCCATAAGAAATAAAGAACCGGTCCTGGGCTGTTGAACAGTTTTCAGCAACATTATGAGTAGTGTACTACAACCAAGAATTTCTCTTCTGGAAAACAGATTTCAAGACGATATTCATAAGCATTGGGAGGAGATTTGTGGAGCTCATTCATACTGGTACTTCATGAGGACTGCTTTCTCTGGAAGCAGTTGGTTGCTCAAACGAATGCCGGGCTAGTGTACCCGAATATGAATCCTGTATTCACAATCACACTGTTCACCTATCGAATACCTCTGAAGAAAACAGTAAAGACTACCTGCAGCTTCGTGTTGACCGCACTGAAATACTGATCCTTATCACCCTCAACAGGAGACCAACGAAAAATTTTCAGTCTCTGAATGATGGATGGCTGACTCGAAACATCAGTGGAACCTAACTCTGGCAGTTCTTGTTTAGACATGTTTCTGAACCAGGATCCTCGAAATCTACCAGGACAGGTTCGTCGTTCCTCGTGGGCACGCTCTACAGATTTCCTGTCAACTGGCGCAACCATCTGCGCACTCATGCACGCGACTTTATCTAATTAGATACGGTACAACTTGGCGACACACGAAACCTGACAGAGAAGCTTCAACAACTGGCGCCTGTGTCAACAAAACCACGTAAACAAACAAACAAGACGTTTGCAAAGACGTGCACTTTTCTCAACGAATTTCATGTGATTGACAGCTTGAATTAGTTCCAAACCGGAAAGCACTTGACAGAAAACTGTCACACTAATCCGGGGGTCAGATGGCCAAATTCGGTCGTAAAACATTCTCTCACGCACCAAGCGAGATAGACTTACTGCTCAATCCGTGCCAGCAATAAATTTGTGCGGACGCTGAAGATGTTCGCTTGACAACAATTAAGCAAAGATAAACAATGAATAAATGAACCTCCAGCTGAATAAATTTTGTTGAAAGGTACTCTTTGTGCATGCGCACCAGGTACTGGATTGACATGATCTCCGCTTGACTAAAGGTCTTAAACACGCGCCTGTAGTTCTCTGAATAGTCAGTCCGTCAGTCTGCCGACTGTAGTCGCTGTTTCAGATCTCCGCATTCAAGCCACCTGCGAGGAAATTATTGTACACGCGAGATATTCCACTTGAATGACCATTTTATGCTCTGCTAATCAGCTGGAACAAAGAAAACGATTCAAGAATCCTTCGTCTCCTCTCATTAGGAGCAGAATTAAATTCATATCTTTGTAATGTACTAATCATAAGGTTGCTGAAAATCCGTCGACAGCCCACGACCGATTTCGTCCTTCTTGGGGCTCATCAGGTAGGCGCAGTCCCCGAGTTTCCGTCAACTTTATGTTCTACTTGAAACCAAACGAAATTCGCGAATATACACTCATCTGCAAACTAATTTGGTTTTTCGACAGACTCACCTGGAACCTAGCTGAATCTCTCGTTTATGATGTTTCCAGGCAACTGAATGTGCTGCACCAGGCCGCCTCATATTTCAGTCGCTACGATACTCGAGATAATCGTACAGGGAGTCTCTCGAAAAACTAGATTGGTTTGCAAATGAGTGTATATTCGAGAATTAAATTTAGTCCAAATTTTCTCGTGGTTTGTAAACGCAAATCATCAGGACCAAGATAGACAGCCGAGTTGAAGGCGCACTTGTGGGTTTGGTCTCTGGTCTTGGTGATAGCCCTTGTCAGCTCAATCTGCCGAGCAAATCTTCCACTATTTCATTTTTTTTTTAAATAGTGTGACTTTCCTGAGGGAACCTTCCATTAGATATCCATTGCAATATGTTTTAGTCACTAGACTGCATTTGTGTATTTTATCATTATCACTCCTTTCCAGCTAGGCATCCGGAGAAGTTGATCAACACTCGTTCGCTGTCCACCTTCTGTGAACACAGTTGACTAGGTTTGGCAACCTTGTAGAACCTCAATTGAGAGTTTTCTTCGGGCCGCTTGTCAGTTGTAGACTTATATGATACCGGAGCTGTCGACTTTTCTTCAATGTATAGCCAAAAAACGTCTAAACTACGGCCATCAAAGAAAGGATAAAACCAGTCAGACATCCATGTAACCTGTAATTTACGTCCACCAAGTGGCCAGGTACAATTCCCGGGCAGTTTAGTCCACAAGATATTCTGTCTCGATTAGTTTACTCTGAGTTTTCTCCAAACCTTCAATAATACCTATTAAATATTCCGGAACCTGAGACATTACACAATCACTCAGTGTCCCATGGGGCGATTGCACAATGTTAAAAGGAGGGGGTTCTTTGGACAGTAAGAAAATCCAACGTGAATAGATGTCGTCTTTTGTTTGATAAATTTTCTTCCCAACTAATGGTGGTTTTAAACAAACTCTTTCGATTACTTCTGAAAATGAAATGGATAGTTATGTTATTTGGCATGATATTTACCAACAGGAATACCGGAAACTGGATGTTAAACTCATGAACGAATAATAATGGAATTAAAAAAAAAAGAAATTCTGTTGTCTGTCTTTCCTTTATCTTTTATCTTTGTCATCGTATTCTACTGGCCACATATCAGTCACTTGCCTTCAGGCCTCACCTCGTGTACTAATCAAGCGTGTTCTTATGTCTACCGTACGCGGCGTAGCATCGCGGTTGAACAGTGATATTATGCTGCAGGTAGGTGATGATGACTACCTGATATTTGCCATCTTTACAATCTTGATGTCGTTTTCTCATCCGGTTATCTATTACCCAATTGTATTGTCTTTCTCACACCATGTGAATTCAAGATCCCGATATAAGTTGCTTCAAGGGAAGAGTCCTTCTGATTTCAGTGTTTCGCAAACGGTGGATCTGTCCGGGAGGTAGTTTCATTGATTAGCCATATATGGAGCAGGAGTTTCATTGGTCGAAATCGGTCGAAAACTCCGTGAGTCAAAAAGCCCGAATTTCAACTAAACCAGGTCGAGCGAGAATGAAATTGGTTTTTCAGATTAGCAATGAGAGGATAATCGAGTAATCAGTCTCCATCAGATCACGTGACGTCAGCGGTGTGTTTGAAGCATCAGTAGCGCTGTGTTTTAGTTGAAAAAAGTAAGGCAAAGTAATGAGTGGCTGAGTAAGTGTTGTGTTCCAAGCTTGAAAGCTCAATGTCAAATTCTCGCTGTACAGATTCACAACGGTGATAAATTTGAACAAAGAATAAACGGTGGTGCACTACTCCTTGACTTGCGAGAAGAATTCCCGCGTTGTCCGTATTATCCTGTGTACAGATAAAGAACAAAAGAATGTGAACGACAAACGTCCTTTTTGAAAGTAATCCTTCTGTGCAAACGAAAGTGAGGTAAGTCTATCTAGACAGCAGATAAAGGTTAACCTGCCCGAATTGAATGATCAACAGTGTGGATGACAGGGTATAACGTAAAATGGGTAGGAACACTATACTTAAGTCTAAGTTACACACAGCTCAGTGTGTTTTAGGAAACCTAACTTGAATATCATGCCAACTGAAACAAGAGGCGGCTTGTGTGCGGCACATTCAGTTGTAGAATATCATAAACGAGAGATTCAGTTGAGTCACTCGTGAAAACCAAATTGATATACAAATGAGTGTACTTTCCGAAAACAGTGCAATTCGGGTTCAAGTAGAACATAAGGTTGGCGAAAACTCGTGGACTGCGTCTAGCTGATGAGCCCCAGGAAGGGCGAAACCGGTCGTGGGCTGTTGAAGAGTTTTCAGCAACCTTGTGAGTAGTTTCCTTTATGAAAATAACTTGAAGCTTGTTTTTTTGATTTTGATAAGGTCCAGGGTATTGCGGGTGGGTGTACATCTTTTTTCGCAAAGTAAAAATCGTGTAGATGTAGCTGTTGGATGGAGGATTGGTGCAGAACAGGCCTAGGAGCACAGTACCAAACGAACTCTATTGTTGCGCCTTCTGAATGAGTTTACTGATATTCTGTCCGGTAAACGAAGTCAGTGGGATAAGTAGATATGAACTTGCCGAGTTTTGCGGCACTATTCATTTTTCTTCAATTTTCCCCTCCACGATAAGTGGCCACCGGGACTGTTCTTGCCAGCCGACGAAATGGGAAGACTATTTAAAGGGCCGCCCTGTTTCCTTTTATCCAGATAAATGGCAGATGATCTACCTCAGTTATGAAAATGTAACATTGGCGTTATGCATTTCCAGCAGGCAATTTGTCCTTTCCAGAAGCCTGAAAAAATTACTTGCGTTGCTTTATGGTATCCGGCGCCAAAACTAGGTCTGAAAACTCGGACTGCTTTATTCAACTTTCCACGTTAAATCTTTCAGTTTCCCGACAACTCTTCTACCCAAATGTTAAAATCTGTTAGACTTGTGTATCTAGGTTCTTCTTGTAGTCGTTTGGTGTAGTGATTTTCCACTAACCACACTCAGAACAAATCCTGTAATAGACTGTCTTCTGTCGTTCTAAGTTGATGAATTTTCTCGCATAAAACGCTGCTGTTCATTCATTTGCCGTTTCGACGACTTTGTTTTACACGGTGCGTCATATTTGGTTGTTTCTAACACGGCAGACAAACATTTTCGCGCAAGGGCCATCAGCTAAATTACTGTCACCCTATTGGTTGAGCAAAAGACTTCAGCTGCCCTCGACCACCAACTGAATGTCGATGACACGTCCTCGCTCACACTTAATGAACAGAACTCAGTCTGTTGCGTTTTGTGAAGCAAATGAAATTAGATAACAGACAAGCAGATCAATCGTACCTACAACCCAAATAGTTTTTTCTGTGCCAAATCTCCCAGGTCCGGGATCCTCGATGTTTAGGAATCCCGTAATTCTGATGCGAACTACTGCCTGAGTTGTTATAATATGAGGGAGCTTGGGAATTTTCAATAAATACTTTATCTTGCAAATAAAGTCAGTCTATGGTGAAAGTCCGAGCGGCACTGTATGGCTGTTTTATCCTTATTGGGAATTACCGGCAACGTGCATCTAACAAACCTCCGGGGAGATCCAAACCTGCAGCCTTCCCGTTATTAGTTGAAGACTAAATCGTTAGGTCATCCACGACTGATCAACAGCAGATTGATCGGGGTGATTAACTCGTACTTAGACATGACGTAACACCATTCAATCCCCATCCACGAGTTGATTGGATCCACGAGTGATGAGTTTTCAAGTGAAAGTTTTATTCGTGTGAATTACTCCTTCCCCAAATCTACATATTGAGTTTGATAGTGTGAGGTGAATGTTGGAATACAAACGGAGATTTCGTCATGTAATTGGAAGCAATCTATGCTGAAAAGTTGAAAAGTATCTTATTAGAGGTTGCTGGTTCGAAACTCCCAAGAGTTTCGTAAAATCTGCATTGCTGATGATCCTTCCCAGGGACCAAACAGCTGTACAGTGCTTCTTGAATTTTCAACGTAGATTGTTCTCATCTACAGGATAGAATTTCCATTGAGCATTGTTTGCTTACTTGAGGCATTTGTTTGATGAAGGTGTTGATTCCTTTCTTCTATTCGTACGGTGTATAACGACCTTCCCCGTAGTGTTTTTTATTTTGTTTTGACCTGAAGGTAAACCGCTCTTTCACCTTGTCACTGTACATGCTGAAATCATCACGTGGCCCCGTTACATTGTAGCCACGTTGCCTTGAACAGGAATGGATATTAGAATCCCGTTGGAGATTAGCAGTTCCTTAACCGGTGTATAGAAGCCGGAGAAGTCCCACGATATGAAGTTTGTACAGTTTTATCACTTTATTGCTTTATTCGTAGTACCGCATTTGTTGGGGTTTCGCGAGCAACTCAACGTGGCCCAACTGATTGTTTGACACAATCAGTAGTACGCAAATCTATAGTAGGTTCCTTATGGCGAAAGGCCCCTTTTCACTTGTCTCTACAGCCAGGTTCTTTGCATACAAATCGTTTGAAACACCTCGTCCCAGTGAGTCTCGGTATTAAATCAAATTTATTCGCTGTTGAACAGTTTTCCCAATGGCAGAAAAAATTAGTGCTCCAAACCCATCACCATTATCATCATCGACAGCATGACATCAGTGTTCAACACTGATGCTTCACTGTCCAACCCCATACATCTAAACTAATCTTCCCCCAAGATTTTTTCTCCTATGTCCTGCTACCGTTAGCCCTACATGTGGACAATTACTATCAGTCCCAAAGCGAGGAACCGAATATTTTGCCCCGTGATTTCGCTACAAGTGGAATTGGGTAGTGGCGCCAGATCGATCAATATAATTTACTTATGTACTCCGACATGTATTGTTGAAAGCACTCATATGCTGGCAAGAATGCATCCATGCAGTTTCTAATGAAGGAAAGAAAGTCAAAACTACACTTCACAAATCCTTCGGTATTGGCAAAGCTTGGGATTATCATGCTGAACATCGACGCGTGAAGTGAAGAGGGATTCAAAGTGGACTCACGCCCCTCCTCCAGGCAAAAGGCCTCAGAGGCGATAACAATATGGAGTACTGAACCTAAATTGCACTGCTTTTGAGTAGAAGAATTGGGTCAGTGCCATAATTTGATTGTGGTATATTGATTTTCATGATATCTCTACACCTATGGTTGAAAGGTGCACTAACCCGAGGTTGCGCACTGCGTGGATGGCAAGTTGATCACTCCTACTCTGGATGGAGGCGTCATCAGTAGTGTATAGTATGATGGTCATGCTATATGCAGTATTGTATGTAGTTTGTTATACTGAAAGTAATATTGTATCATATCATTATATGAGCATGTAACACATATTTTTACATTTCAAAATTTGCTGGCATTCAGTCCTGACACCGAGTCCGATTTAAGAAGACACAAACAGCATCTGGCTAGTTTTTATATCACAACACAGGACAAGTAGTCCACCGTTTTAGAAGTTACGCGTGAATAGAAAGCACTATGGATTAGCATCAAGCATTTCATGCAAATAAATGTTCGTCTAAAGCTGTAAGCAGTTTACTTAGAGTACAGAAGGTCACACATCAGTTGGCTACTGACGCGCGCTACGAATGGCGACTAACGACACCCAGCTGACAGCACTTGACTGGTCTTGATATCCTGCTGATACAGAGAGGTTACCTAGATCTTGGTTAGATGGGCTTCTTCTCGACACCGTTCAGTCACCAGATGTATGCACTACATAGATAATCAGAACTTATTCGTTACCTACAGATACCTGTAATCTTGTTTCCAAAACAAGTGGACTTGAATTGCTGTTATGTTCCGCCAAGTGCTCAAATGAATCGCAAGCTGAAAATTCAGCTGGAATTCAATTGCGTCTCCCGTTAAAACCTAACTGGCGTGTAAGAAGCATATTTAGCGGATCGGATACAAATTTGGTTCAAGTAAAACATAAATTCGACGGGAACTCAGGTTGTGTGTCTACCTGGTGGGCTCTAAAGAGAGCGAAACCGGCCATTGGTTGTCGAAGAGTTTTCAGCAACCTTCAAGAAGTTCTACAGTCGTAGCTCTAAAGAGGCGAAACCGGCCATTGGTTGTCGAAGAGTTTTCAGCAACCTTCAAGAAGTTCTACAGTCGTAGCTCGAATGTCACACCAACTGTAACACGAGGTGACCTTTGTGCGACACATTCCGCTGGAGAACCTCAAAAACAAGAAAATCGGTTGGGATTGAGTTGAGTTTCCCGTTGAAACCAAACTGGTGGGCAAAGTAGTGAATTTCGCAAAGTACTGTGTCTGATTCCGGTCTTTGTGGTAACTATTCAGAGGTAATGGACCAATATTAGTTATTCTTGTCAACTTCATACCGAGTGTCCGCTATTAGAATATTCAACTAAATATCTTGGTAGGTGGCAGACAGTTTTAACCCTCATCACAGCCGAAATTCAAACTCAAGTTTTTTTAAATCTAGCTTAACTCAGTGAAAAGATGCCTCTGTTGTAGTAACTTTGTTTGCAACGCGTTCTGTCCCTGAGTGTATCTTTCGTAGATTTGGGTCTCCCTTCTACTTCTCAAACTCCACTGCAAAATAAGGTGGTCCGTATTGTAGAAATCACCATCTGAGTACCTGGCCACTTACTCTGCTTAACTTGAATTACTGTTAATGAGTAATTTCTTAAAATTACTATATTAATAAACTCCAAATAGTCACAGGCAGACAGATCACAGCAATCAGACATGAAAAACCACTGAAGTGTTGCAAAATTTTAGGATAAATTCAAACTACTGATTAGCCGACTGTTTGGCCGAATAAATAAGTGAATCATAATAAGTACAAGATTCTTACTTTTTGTCGCTTGGATAAAGCAGTTTCAGTAGTTGAGTGTATTTCGCCGTTTATCATGACAATTACGTGGATCAGAACGGCGTTCTTTCGCTTTTTTAAGAAGCATCACAAGGACACCTGGTGGCGCAACAAAACGGCAAAGTTTATCCTCCTTGACTAACCAGGTGAGGAGAAACAAGGGTGAAATTGCTTGCGTAGCTCAACTCCGTGTGTTACAATAACGCGCTCACGGTAATCTAAACGACTGTTTCAACACCCTCACAAGCTTTTCGAGGGGAGGATAACGAATCGTAATTAGGTCAGCTTTAATATACCTACTTTGTGCATGACCTCGGATGAATGTTCTCAAAACTAAATATTGTATGAGCAAAACCCAACTACCTATCCAGAGAGAGATATCGCTGATTTCTCTAACTGTCTCTCCTAGTCCTGATAATAATGGGTATTTCACAAAACATCTGAAAATTATGATAACAGTGATCAAATCATGGGTCATTGATATTTCAGTTTCCGCAATTAGTTGATTCTGTATTCAGTACGATTCAATTGCTGTACGAACTAACATGGGTTTAGCATACATCGCATTCATTGACGTTTCTTCTAATGTTGATGAGTCCATCGGTGTTCCGGTTGTGCTTCTCGGATAGAAAACTGTACAATACTGCGATGCTCGAGCCTATTTGAAGCCAAACCATATTGAGAACCTGGAAGTGAGTGAACCGTCGACTAGAGCCGTTTGGCATCAAACGCGATGCGTTGTCTGCTACTGGACAGACATCACCTTTCATGGCCTGGAGCTGGTCCGCAATTTTCCTGCAAGTGGGCTAGACTAACAACCTCGTAAACAGTCAGAACAGTTGAAAAACATCTCTTTTATAAAATATAGGAATTCCGCGGATCATAGTTTGATTAGTTCTACCTAAAAACCTCCTATAAAAGCATTCAATGATGATTAACTGGTAATCGGTTCAAGCAGGTTGTGATCGATCTCAAGCCGCAAGGTTCAGACCACGACCAGCAACGCACTGTTAAGCCCAGCCAAATATCCAAGTGCTCCAAGAAGAAGAAGATGAGTCAAACTCACTCAGGATTCTTACTGATGATCTCCCAAATTCCAACAAAAAAGATGCAGCGATTCGAGGAGATGCCTTTGAACTGTGTGCCCAAGTAACCTCTCCCAGTTAGTTGTAGGTGGTTGCAGGATCGATAGAACTCACATTTACAACTCTGTCGTTTGAACAGACCTACTCCTGTTCTTGCGTAATTATTGTGGTAAGTCCTCCACAAAGAGGTAAAACCCTGCGGTGAACTTGTGGAATGTATCATAACAGAAGTTATGGGCCATAACTTCGGTTTCCTGCACGAATGGTGAATGAAGCACTCACTCCGTTTTTCGCCTTATGACAAGTTAACGGATCCCACTGATGCCTGAAGTTACACGCAATACAGTTCTCATAATATCCGCAGTCTCTAGGAGCCAAGTCAGCTAGAGTCAGACTTTATCCAACGTTAAGTGATGTCCCATATTAGCACGTTACAAAAACTTGACTAAAAATTCATACACCCCAGTATACTGCTTATTGTAGGCTTCAGGATGAGGCAAGATCTAGGGGTTTGTCAAGCATCAAGGGTTAAATAGCTGGCTACAGATGTGCGATAATTGAGTGTATCAGTGGATGAATGAAGCTCATGAAGCTTATGTGACCTCGATGCGAAACAAGCTTGTTGAAATAAGTCTTGAAATGCTTTCCTTTGCGCATCAGTTTGGTTTCCACGGGAGACTCAACTGAAATTTCTCTTTTGTCACATTCTTCAAGTGGATGTGCTGGACAGAGGCCAACTTGTGTTTCTGTTGGTACGATATTCGAGATATCGCAGTATATTATCCTAAAGAAAACTACTCACAAGGTCGAAGAGATTCCAGCCAACTTATGAGTAGTTTCTTCAAATACTTATTCATTGAAAAGTCAAATAAGTCATTTATTTGAGGTTCTGCTACAGCCGAATTAGCTTACCGGCAAAAACCGAGAAAACCGAGTTACCAAGAGGGATCACTTATAGAAACAAACTTATGATTAGGACTGAACTGAACGGTGGGCGATCCAGAGCAGAGAGTATAGGTTTCGAGAAGTCCTGAAAGCAGCCTAAATGTACGGAGATAACCATGGGTCTATTCATTAACTTTGGAAAGCACAAACTAACCAATCGATCATAAACAAGAACGCACTAACCAAGGGATGTTCCGGACAATTCTGTTCGTTCTATATGCACAGCCGCTTGTGTGCACTGACCCGCCGTTTATTCGTCCAATAATTCTGACCTTCTTGATTAGAGGGTATACTATTACCTACCTTACCGTGTGCCCGAAAGTGGGATAAGTCATTGTGTCGTAACACATGTTCTTAGCTCCTTAGGTTTGAAACTACTCCAACACCCTTGTATTCAATCAGCGTTCGCCTTAAGCGCTCCATCAAAAAGCAACGCAGCAAGACCATATGTTCCATTCTGAGCTAACTACCGCAGACTTAAAGACCTGATTGAGGGTGATTATCAACAAGAATTAGAAAAACCGTTAGATTTTATCACACTCACTCACACACTTGTTATTTCGATCCATTCTTTAGCCGCGTTTGAGAAAAAAAGACAATGGGTTTTGCCAATCGGTTCAACCGCCTGTCTAGTCCCAGAGCAACAATGGAACGTTCGGGAAAATGCGAGCGGCTCCTGGACAGAAGTGGTTACGAATGAGGCGTTTTGAAACCACTGCAAATAAACCACAAAGGCGGCGAAATCCGATCCTGTTTCATTACCTAGGAACTCCGTATTCATTGTCCACAAAATCCCCTTTTCCCATTTTTATCTCCTACTAAACCACAAAAGACAGCTGAACTAAAATGCCACTGAAAATCACTACGTGCAGAAGTCCCCTTTCAGTCAGGAATCGAAATCATGTGACGCTCGTTTGACATTTCAAACCTTATTCGATATTCACTAGAAGGAAGAGGGTCCTGGTTTCAAGTGTATTACGGGTAAGACAGACAAAAGAATCCCCCAATAAACAGTAGCTTGAAAAGCCAGCTTAGTAACAAAGTAACTCAACCAGAGGGGAAACCGGATGGGGCAATGTGAGCGTTTTCGCTGAACTAGAAATGTCATAAACTGTCACAAATGTGTCAAAATTGGCGTCCACTTGATGTCTGTTTTTAGACAGCAAAACAGGAATCATGTGTCATATTCGTGGTCCACACCACCACACAGTTTTTGTATACATATCCGGCCAAATTGCGATATCTCCACACTGTTTCAGTGCAATTCCAAGCTGAACTGGGCAAAATAACTGCAACCACTGGCACAAATGTGTTTCCGAATTTAATCTATCCCTGCTTCGGTCAAGCAAACAGTGATTCCAGCTCGACTCCTGGATAAACCTGGGCCTAATGTCAAATCCCAGAGGAATCTTCAAATGCTTCATTCACTGTTTAGTAGGTGGCTAAAGAAGATATTGTCCTATTATGGTTTGTAGGACTTACTTCAAACAATCACAGGTGCTCTCAACCTGGCCATTTTGATGATGATCATGTTAAACATGGCGTCTGGGCTGACTCTACTGCCGTCTAAGTTTTTGTCCGCGCTGCTGCTCATGACGACCATCATGATGGTGATGATGATCGTGATGAGGATGATGATGATGATGATGATGACGATGATGATGATGATGATGATAACGGTGATGACGATGATGATGATGATGATGATGATGATGATGATGATGATGATGATGATGATGATGATGATGATGATGATGATGATGATGATGATGATGATGATGATGATAGTCCGTTCATTTTGTGTTCGCGTGATAGAGGCATATGGACATTCACATGCGCAGAATTCACATTATCGGACATTCACATTATCTGCTTTTAGATAAGATCAGTCACTAAGGCATCTGCCACCGAAAATGACTTCAGCTGGATCTATGGGGCCACGATATTTTTGTCAGTGAAACGTGGGAATTCCGTACAGAGCTCCCGGATACACGTTGTTCTTGGCAGACGTGAGCTGGTAACTTTTTACTTCCTATAGAAAGCATCTGCCCACCAATAGTACTGACCAAGTCTCCATCAAATGCGACCATGTTGCTTTACGGGAGGCTTCCTTGGTCTAGAAGTCAGCTGATTTTGTTCACAACAAGTCTCCTTCAGAGTGCGTCCAGCATATTTAGTTGGGTTATTCCGACCAGGCCTCCACGAGGCTCAGTCATGTATATATTCCTCCGTCGACTAACAAAGGAGAGGGGCCATATGTTACCACTCAGAATAAAGATCCGTTGAGTCCCGGATAAGAACGGTTTAAACCAGTCATTGTAGATGTCTTTCTCTGTGCGCTTCATCAGCTCATCCCTTGATGAATCCTCAGGTTCATCATATCAAAGCTGCCTACTGTGGTGGACATGACCTGATTCGGTTTCCCAAAACACTCACGATACCTGAGCATAAGTAGTCCGTTAGTTCAGTTTACGACGTGCCTGAGAATACGAATTAAATTAATAATGCTCGTGAGTGAAGTCCACATACATCGGTTGTTGTAATTTCGTTTGATGAGACCACAACATGAACAGAAGGAACAGAACAGAGGGACTAGTGACAGTTCATGCTGAAATGAACCTAGTTAAGTTGCATAACAAGGAAGGCGAATGTGAAGCAGAAAGGCATATAAAATGTTCAGTCTGTCTCCATTGGTATGGATGATCCCCAATTAGCTGACGCAGAAGCGGTACCAAGCAATAAGAAGTGGGACATTTTTGATACAGATGTAGTTTTTCTGAATTAAAATGTACCTAAACCGTAGAGCTCCCAAAGATGCAACCCTGGAACCAGATTTGATTTTCACCAACTCTCCAGCACTCGTCGAAAAACCTTTTACTCGCGTGTAGTTTGATGCTGGCCAACGCAATCCAAATTTTGCAGGGTACCACTCATCCGATGGAACCAAGTGACCGTATTCTCAATGTCGGAAGTATCGGCAAAACAAAAGGCTAGCCAAGAATCCAATGCTCGCTTCAAGTGTTGACATAAACCTCAACCTGAATTCTGTTACGGCTTTTCAACCCCCCCTTTAATGTTTGGTGGTTTTTGAATGCAGATATTTTTTGCTCTTTTTCAACCGTAGTAACGTTTCCTCCTCTCTGAAGCGGCACTTTCGCAGGGTCCGATAAACTTAAGTCCACGACTTGCAGGAATAATTTTTATGTTATACAGCTAACAAAGATGATAGACGTGGTGAGCGGCGGAAATCAGACGTCTTCAGATCCCCGACAGCCGTTGTCTGAGAGACATACTTTGCGTATGCTGGTGCTAACGAATATTTGGCGGGAAAGTTAGAAAACGAGTGCTCGTTTCCAAGAGATTTCAATCGAGATTATGATGGAGGATTGTGTCCAAGACCGAAATTCGCAGTGGTTTTCATGTATTGTGCATGCCGAATCATCGTTTGCCAAAAGGAGCAATGTTCTCCCTGCTCACTTCAGGGATGGCTAATCTTTGACCTGACAGAAGGGGATGAATGACACTACGAAAAATACGTGTGCTGTCGGCGCTACTCGCCTTCCAGCATAGGGTCCGCGTGACCTTCATTTTCCCTGGTGGGAGTCTTTGCAAGATACGACTAATCAATGTCACGTTGGTAGTTCTTGTCATATTTTGGCCAGAATGTCTAAAGGAGTACCTGGAGGTGTAATTGTCTCAGAGTGATGGTTGCAAGCCAGCACTCAGACTCTCCTGATCTATTTCCATGCTTTCCATCATAATACTTCTTTCAACTAGATCATGGTCGTACGGTAGTGAGGCATAATAGTTTAACACTGACGTTGTGCTATCAATGATGATGGTGGTGAGTGAAAGTCAAGCAACAGATTAAGGAATTTTCATACTTCCGAGCACCATCGCGCGTGTGCAAACCTTGAGATTCCGAGTATGTTTCGAACCCACAGCACTACTGATAAGCATAACAATCCAAATTACAATCTGTAGCGAAATTCGTTATTCCTTTTCAGTCTAGGTGTTCAAATATATACAAACCTACGTCAGTCGATTTTGTTTTCAATTCATTTGTTGGTCTTCTCGTTTCATCGAGCGTTTTAGTTGGCTGTTGTTTGAGCGGTCTTCGCTCATCAAACGAAGATTTTTTGTGGTTGGTGATAACCATGACAACCTCAGATCATCACCGGAAGGCCGTAAATATAAGAACAAAATTTAGAATTCAACCACCAATGTCATATGACTTCTATTTAACCGACTAGTTGGAAAATGAATATGTGGGAGACCGTTAAACAGTAACCGAGGGCTTGCTCATCCAGATCTCAAGTGAACCTCCGATCACCAACCAGTCTGACTGTATGAAGATGCAGCGCAGAGCGTCATCATCCGCCGTGTTCAATGAAGCTCTGAATGCATATGGATTGACATCTGCGCGTGATCAGACGCTTATGTTCAAACTGGTAGCCGGGAGGTGGCGGTTTTGAAACTTCCTGAATTTTTGTGCGATACATGTCGCTGATGTTTCCCAATTAGGATGAAACAGTTTTGCAGTGCTTCTCACGGTCTCCATATAGACTGGCTTCAGTTACGGGACGAAGTCACAACTACGGAATTCCCAAACCTTTCCCACTACCAACAACCAGGACAGTTACCGGGTCATCATCTGGGGCAAAACAAATACATTGCTTAGACGCGGAAATCTTCGCTTGTTCAGGTAAACTCAGCACGTGCTAATAGAGACTTGGTAACCCGCTTGCCTCGCATGTCAGGTGCCCTGTACAACTAAGAATATGCAAACCTGCTGAGCTCTGGTGGGGACTTTCCCTCTTTGGTCTGGACTCACCAGAATAATTGTTCTAGGACAGAGACAGAACTGTTTACACGAGAGCGATATAAATGTGTACTTCCTCCGCGGCCATGGAATTATGAATGTTAAGAATTAAATATCTGTCGAAAGAAGAAGATAAACGCAGCAAGAAACGATGAACTTGCCCAACTCGCCAGCCAAGATTATCTCAGTGTTCAGGACGGAAGGCTGCGTTGGGGTCGTGGTTCGAATCCAACCTTAACCTTTCCATTGCTCCTGACTAGGCCTGGAGAATCTAACAGTGAATCAGCTTCCTGAGTTCCTTTCTGGAGAGTAAAAGCCGTGTGCTAAAAAGTTACACATAGAAGAATCCTGTGGTTTTAACACCAAAAAGATTACCCCAAATGTACACTGGACAGAAGATAAATTATTTTGCCTGGCTGGATTTGTTTTTTTTATGTCTCGGAAGTCCAACCTTTAATGAAAGTCCTCTGACAGCTCATATCATGCAGTCGTATGGCAATCGTTTCAGAAACAGAGATAATGCAAGATGGGTTCGTTCTGGAATACTTCTTAAGTTTGACTCAGGCGCCTTCACTGGGGTTTGAGTTATTATATATATTAACTGGTCGTTCATCAACGGCACACTACCCTGTTTGCTCCTGGACGGTTATATTTTAGACGGTTAATTTAGTTTGACTGAATTGCCCTGCTGGATATCCCAAATCATCCACAGCATAACTGCTTGAAGAGGGCTATACGTAGTCACATTGAGGAATGGACAACATCGGTTCGTAAATCAATCACGGAGCGTGGATACATAGGTTTCTCCGTCTATGGCTTTATGAAGGCTATGGTTGAGCCACTATGCCTTTGAACGGTAAGCTAACCTATACATGGTTCTTCTCTTTCATTACTTTCTGATGCTTCGTTGTTGTTCTCCAAGCGCTACATAGCTTCCTTCTAGGCAGTCTAATCTCGTGCGTTAGAGAAGCCAGTCCCACCGTATGTTGAACGTCTCTTCTATTTCGGGGGCCCAGAACTAGAAAAAGTGATGTTCTTCTCTCATCGTTTCACCGCCCCCCTGAACGCGTCACTTTGGAGGCATCCGAAAAATTCTATTTCGGGAAGCGAATAGTAAGAACTGGCTCTTTCTTACGTTTGAACTAAGAGACGAATGATCTAATATCAGATGGACCATCAGTCAACTGAATAGAGACTCGACGAATCAACCGAATGGCAGTTTTTCTGTCCAAACAGATACTATCTCACTTATTGTCCCCGCAACCCTCTAAACTGATCACACAAATGTTCGTCCGGAAAAAAGCTTTTCAAAGTACTGTTAGCAACCAGTATGTGTAGAACTTATTCTGCTGAATTCCGTTTGAAAACAGCACAGCGAGGTTCTTTATCACCGGCTGAAACATCTGCATACCTCTTGACCTCAAACAAGAGTGTGGCAGATGTTTCACTTTTGGAGAAAACCCATTTGACTGTGGACCCGTTGTGCGCAACGGGTTAAAACATTGGTTAAAACACTGAAATTGCGAGGACGTGGGAAAATTTGAGTTCAGCCGCCGTTTCACGGTCGAGTTTAACTGTTCCTACGCATTTCCAGTATGAAGTGGGTGAATCACATGATGACTGGGTGACCTTTGAGTTGGTACCGAACAATCGACAGACATCTAACCTGCGATAAGCCACAGTGTTTACGACAATTGAAAAGAAAGCGAGTGGAGCGTACAACAATAAGACCATGTTTCAATAGAATATGGACCCTGAACCTCCGGGCTGGTTTAATTAGAATTTTCGAGTGTTTGCCAGCTTCATCTTCTTCCGGATTAGCCCGCGACATACCGCATCAAAGGTGGGTAATATCGAAGAACATGTGCTCGTAAGATTTCCTCAATATTACATCTTTTATGTTAACTACGTGCGTGAGCCCTGGAATCAAGGCTTCCTGAACATTCATATTGCCTTCTCTTCTACAAGTCATTATGTGAAATTCCGGACTGGTCATGATTGGCTTCTCTGGTTGGATACCACAACGAAAAGACAGCAAATGGTGAAAGTGCTGTGTA